CCGATTAATATCATCAACGTAAACATTATCCGCGTAGAGTGTAACATGACCGCTGGTGCGTACAGCAACGGCAAACGCGTTCATACGATATATGAATTTTCACCGAGCGTGCCGCCTGGATATAAGATATCGGAAACGCCGGTGCAGATCATTTACCTGCCGATCATCGCTCGGAGCATTACGGATCTAACGATACGCATCGCGGATCAAGACGGACGATTGCTCGATTTTCGAGGAGAAGAGATCACCATCAGATTGCACGTACGACGGCGACAAAATTAGCGTGCGATACATGAGATGCTCGTGTTGAGCGGAGCGAAAGACGCGAGAGATAACGCGAGGCCAGCGACAACAACGTCAACATTCGCTAATATCCAATCATTCCAATCATCCAAGAAAAAGAAACTCAACGCGTCGAACGTTGAATTTTTACAATCTTTGGGATTCGCGGTGCGAAATATCTGAGAAAACAGAGAAAACATCCTTAACATCGAAGGCGAGCCGGTCTTTGACGATCGTATCGTCAAGATCGAGACTCACACGTACAACCCGTACGCCAACACGACGTTTGAGTATAGCGACGAGATACGAATACCCATACAACAACAGGATCTGTATACCTTGCCGTATGAGAGTTTTCTATACATCGAGGGAAAACTAAAGATAAACAAACCAGCTGAAGGATCTAATGTGGTACTGGGAAATAATTGCGTCGCGTTTATGTTCGATGAGATCCGATACGAACTCGACGGTGTGGAGATTGATCGTAACAGAAATGTGGGAATAACTAGCACACTCAAGAACTATGTAACGATATCATCCGATAAAACCGTGATTATAACGCCGGCTAGAATGCGCAGTACGCATTAACAAGTAGCAATAACGCGAATGGATACTTCAATTTTTGCGTACCGCTCTACATGTTATTGGGATTTTGCGAGGATTACAGACGCGTGGTGATTAACGCTCGTCACGAGTTGATCTTAATACGATCGCACAACGACAACAATTGTCTGCTTGAAAATTTGGCACTGGAGCCTGCGATCGACATATTCAAGATACAATGGCGAATGCCACACGTGGTATTGAACGAGATCAATAAGCTGTCGATGCTGCGCGCCTTGGAAAGCGGACGATACCTCAGCATGGGTTTTCGCTCGTGGGATCTGTACGAATTTCCGCTATTGCAGCGTACAACCAAGCATTCGTGGCCCATTAAAACCGCGACTCAGCTGGAGAAGCCGCGATACGTTGTCTTCGTTCTGCAGACAGGCCGGAAGAACGTCATGTCCGAGGATACGAGTCGATTCGACCATTGCAAATTGACCAACGTGAAACTCTATCTGAACTCGGAATGTTATCCGTACGACGATATGAATCTAGATTTCGATAAAAACAGATGGTCGATTCTGTACGACACGTACCAGCGTTTCTGCAAAAACTATTACGGATACGAGTATCTCGAGCCGAATCTCGCAGTCACGCAGTTTCTACTTAACGGTCCGTTCGTGATCATCGATTGCTCTCGACAAAACGAATCGGTCAAGAGCGCAACCGTGGATGTGCGATTGGAATTCGAGTGTAAGGAGAACGTGCCGCCGAATACCACTGCGTACTGTCTCATCATACACGATCGCGTGATTCAGTACAACCCGTTGACCAACGTTGTGCGCAAAATCACTTAAGTGTGTGGGATGAGATGATATAAAACCAATAATGCATCAGAATCAATCGCAGTCTTCTTCTTCTTCTCGACGTGCTGATATAAAAAACGTTATGTCCATACCAACGTTCGTGAACCTACAAAGATTCTACGTCGGGATGAAATTTGTCGTAAAGGAGGTGGCGGTGCTGAGAAAGGGGACCGTTCTGGCGCATTACATTTTTACATACCCCCTACCATGGAATCTCCTCACAAAATCCGACAAATCATGCGCTTCCTGGCTGATCGCGAATCACCATGGATTACGATGGGAAGACGAAAACGTGCCGTACGGCATGGCTAAACGCTTGATTACATCGGCCGTGCTTGGTACGGAAGAGGATGACGAGACGTCGACTCTCGTGTACGTCAAGGGATGCCAGAAACAAGAATGGCTGGTGGATTTGCTTGAGAATCTTGCGAGAGAAAATTTAATCATCGAGACTTTGGATGCTGATTACGAAGATATTGAATCTTTAAATAATCTAGATGTTACTAATACTATACGATGCGGAAAACATGTTAAGAATTGCGCATTACAGAATGTATTAAAAATATTTAGCTGGTGGTCGCAACGCCAAAAAAATGCAATATTTTTATAAATAAAATGTGTAAACGTATTTAATGTTTTTTATTTCTTATTCTCCCCACTCCTTTCCTCGCGAGTCGTTTCTAAGAATTCTTTTTAACGTTGACCGTTTCCCCTTCTCCTAAATTTTCAGAGCAATAATCTCCCATCGCATCATACGTTGACCATTTCCCCTTCTCCTAAATTTTCAGAGCAATAATCTCCCATCGCATCATACGTTGACCATTTCCCCTTCTCCTAAATTTTCAGAGCAATAATCTCCCATCGCATCATACGTTGACCATTTCCCCTTCTCCTAAATTTTCAGAGCAATAATCTCCCATCGCATCATACGTTGACCATTTCCCCTTCTCCTAAATTTTCAGAGCAATAATCTCCCATCGCATCATACGTTGACCGTTTCCCCTTCTCCTAAATTTTCAGAGCAATAATCTCCCATCGCATCATACGTTGACCATTTCCCCTTCTCCTAAATTTTCAGAGCAATAATCTCCCATCGCATCATACGTTGACCATTTCCCCTTCTCCTAAATTTTCAGAGCAATAATCTCCCATCGCATCATACGTTGACCATTTCCCCTTCTCCTAAATTTTCAGAGCAATAATCTCCCATCGCATCATACGTTGACCATTTCCCCTTCTCCTAAATTTTCAGAGCAATAATCTCCCATCGCATCATACGTTGACCATTTCCCCTTCTCCTAAATTTTCAGAGCAATAATCTCCCATCGCATCATACGTTGACCGTTTCCCCTTCTCCTAAATTTTCAGAGCAATAATCTCCCATCGCAT